AAAACAAAACAAAACAAAACAAAAACACATCAATTTTGTGTTAGGTAACACGAGACATAGATGACGAATAACTAAACTTTCTAAAAGTCCTTTCCAATGATTATTCCCTGGGGAATTACGTCGCTCGCGCTCGCTACTTCATCGCTCGAAGATCGCTCTCTCGCTTCGCTCGACGGAGATAAATGTGCCAAGGAGTAAGAAAAGGTCAACAAGTGGCAAGTCTGACGAATAACGTGACAAAACCAGTAAGGTAACCTTTTTTGTACGTTCAAGATGTTACGACACTTGAAGAATCTAAAGAGTTTGCATGGTGGATAACAAAGTTGGTCACGCAGCAACTTTTGTTCCATGTAAATCTTCCCAATTTTGAACACTTAAAGATCGCGATGAAAATTCACACTGAAAAACTTGCTAATTTCAAAACAGTCTATCTATTTCTGACTTCGGACGCACAAACATTTCTTATGACGGATTAGGTGACGTATGGTAAGGTTTAACGAGTCATGTCAGCGGAACACTACATTTTGGTCCTTTTTGACTGAGTCAACCGTCACCAAAACTCAACTAAGCCAGCGGTCTTTATCAAAACATTGCTAAGCAACATTGAACGACGGTGGTTATGACGTCACTTGACACAACGTGACATCTACTACAGTAAGTACTGCTACAGTAAGAGCCAGTGCTACTGCCATTTTCGAGTACGAACAACCTTAAGCTGATTATTCTGTGAAAATGACTTCTGTTCTCGTTTACTTCTCGCTGCACTGCAAAGTTACTTTCGGTCAGTTTTCTGCTCTTGCAGACAGGAGCCGACAGCTCGGGAGCGTTTATCTCAAGCTAGTCTACTGGGAAATACGCTCCTGATTAAGTGCAATTTAAATCATAGCATCGTGTACTTACGGTATCGTGTCTGCTTAAAATTCTGAAGCCCTCTGGCGAGCCTTTCTCGCGAATGTGTTCCACGGCGTGTTTTAAACACAAAACTTGAGGGTAATCTTCACTCGTCACCTGGATTGAAGACAATAAAAATACGACGTAAAAATAAATTTCACATTTGTTTTCGATCTAAAGTAGAACCGTAGGCTAAAAAGGCACCTTTCAGTTCAAATTGAGAGGGAAGTTAGAATGGAGACATCGTGGGCTAGTGGTTAGAGCGTTGGATTTGTGACCCCGAGGTGGCGGGTTCAAATCCACCTCTCCACCGCTAGGTGGGTTTTTATTGGGTGGTCACGAATTCGAAAAGCTTCCGACTCTTAAAAAGATGCTTAATGGGGTGGGGAGGGCGTGGCCAGCCTCCATCCACGCGTGCGCGTAACACCTCATGATTTACGTAGACGTAGTGAGCACTCACCGCTGACAGGTAGCAAGGGCGGTCACAGTCTTCACAGTATAAAACACAGCTCGAGTCAGCCTGACGCCAGTTGGCGATCGATGTCTTACCTCCTTTCTTAACTGAAACAATAACGATATATTTATAAAGTGAGGACAAGCGTCACACCTCTCGTAATACGGCAAGTGTAACACGGGTGCAGCCAGTTACGATGGACCTTACGAAAAACACGACGGCAACGGGAACGAGAACGTTACAAAAAACAAGGTTTAATGAACAGAACAATGGCTGTGCACGTGCGTTGTAATTCTTGGTACATTTCTTTGCCGTTCTCCGCAAATGAACAATGCGAAACGACCAACTTCCAAGTTTTTTTGACAACGGGACCCACCATGGCTAGTTTTTCGTATTTCTATTTGGAACTGAACGTATTCGTAGCATATCCAGCAGGGGCAAGTTTCGATACCGACAGACACACTGGATAGTTCTACATAACTGCGTAATTCCAAAATAAAATAGAAACACATTTTTCAATAGGCGTCGTCCTCGTCGTCGCCGTCGTATATGCGTAAGGTCCCTAGGAAGGACGTCCACCAATGAAAATTTTTAACCATTTAAAATGTCTAACCAGTATTTTACCAGGTGACGCGTTAAGAGTTTCTTCGGAAGACAATGTTGACTGCCTGCATCTTACCTCCAGGAGACCCTGACGATTTCATCTCACTGTCGTTAAGCGTTTCAACTAAGCCAAGTTCCACAAGTTGAACCATAAAAGATTTCTCTTCGTCCCTTTGGAAAAAAAAAACCAAACCATCTTAAAAGGCTACGTAAAACAACACAACGGACGAAATTTTTCAACAATATCGAGGCACTTTTATGGTCGTAAAGCACCTTAAGCTGTCTTGTATAGGATTCTTGCCTTTAAAAAATTTAACAATAATTTATAACTTAAGGTCATTCCTCACATTTGCATTGCCCATCCTTACTGCGCATAATTTATGGCGTCANATTATACTCCGTCCCAAACATAGCAGCGCACCATACATGTTCAAAGTGTGCCTTTTTCTATATATTCTGGTGTCATGTGAGATATCAAACACGAAAGATCGTGTTTGAACGCATTCCCAAACATCGAGAAGAGAGTTGAAAATACGATGCGTAGCGGAGTATTCTTTTTGACGAAGTTCGAGGTGTATGGTATTGTGATCAAACACTGCCTTGAGTGTTTGATCACAATACCAAACACCTCGAACTTCGAAGTTTATTTCCTCTTCCGTCTTCCGAGTCTTCCGAATCGAGTGACGAAAAACAAATGGTTTTGAAACAAATCTTGGACGTTTTAGTCCCAAAACATATTGGAATGATTAGTTTTGTTTTCCATTTTCCCGAGCGAATACAGAGAGCTGACTAAGGCACCACTGTGATTGGTTCCTGAGTAGACGTCATCAGCAACCGCCGCGCCAGACTCCCTAAACGCGGTCGCGTAACAATTCAAGAGCGACTTTGGAAGGGCATAGAAAATCGGGGATTCGACCAAATTCAAAAGTTTTTCGCCCAAATAATTCGATTAACAAGTGGATTCGTTTTAGCGAAAAAAAAAGGTTTGGGGGTTAGGTACACTTAAAAGAGAAAACGGAGAGATAAAGTCGTAAAACTCTATGCTAGTTAAAATCACGTAAAATTTAGTTTGACGGAACATCATCGACATCAGCCTTGACCTGTTCCAGCTACCACTACATGTACTTAAGTGATTTAGGACAAAACGACAGCGCGTCTTACTTCAGGAAAGACGATCACGAACTGTCCCTGTTTCTGCACCACTCTTGTAACTGTGAGTCCACTGTCAGTCAGACTGCTGGGAGAAACCTGATGACAAAGTTGACTAAACTCGTTACTGAGCTAATTACGGCTAAAAGGGAACTACACCGTAATTCAAATTAACTTAATTAAACTCAAAGTTGAAACTAATAATCATAACGTAATAAATAGTGTTGTGAAACCAAAACCAAAGTTATCACTCTAGCCAATCACAAAGGACGCAGACAATACAGTGAACCAATCAAAACTCGAAGAACATATGGCCAAAGCGAAGCGCAGGGAAACATGTGCGAACGAGTGGTGGATGAAAAAGTGGCGTGAAATGTTTTAAGCCAGTCGTGTAGCATAGCTGATACAAAACCAATTACTTTTCGGCACTCAAATGAAAACCGTTCGAAAAGAAATATATATGAACTGAGGTGCAAACACGAAATGCGAAGATCACTTCATATAATTGTTAACTATTAGCAGCCCACAGCACACAGACACTTAATACTAGAAGCACAGCTTATACGATTACACGTCACATTTCGAAAAACCGACAAGTCAGAGTCCAGGGTAAATGCTTACGTAATAAACCTCTATAAAAATTAAGCTGTCTTTTTCTTTACTAGCTTACCATCTTATCAACTCGTACTGTTTCAGTAGCTCCGCTGTCCTCTTGACCATAAAGAGATTCGAATTTGTTCTTTTCCCCAGCAGCAACACTGTACCTAAAACACATCAGTAAACCACACAGTCAGATTAGATGGGAAAACACCCGGCTCCTTTATGAAAAGGTCACTTACAAAGCACTGTAATGAAGGCAAATATACCTCTTTCTCTGATCTAAAATGATCATGGAAGCTCCACTTACTTTTGATAGAAAACAAAGAGGGTGTTAAATAAAACTGGGCCTGGGCCCGGCGTTTATTCGAGTTCAGCACTTATTTGGAGCCCCTTATTCAATCGAAAATATAAGGTAAGAACTTTGTAGTTAGAATCATTACAGCGACGGTGAGGAAAATGCCGACTGAAACATAATAGCCCATTTCAGAGTTGCTTTACGCTTCTCTATCAAAACGAGGCCAGAGGCACAACCACTTATATGAGTTTAATTTGTATGTGAATGAAATCTCATTCACATGCAAATTATGAATATGAAGAGATAACAAAATATAAGACAAAAATGAAGATATTAGACAACCTGAGACTCAGAACGCTCGCAGTCCTCACCAGATTTTGTCGACACCGCTGTGTAGATATTCCACGGTGTACAGTGCGAGTGGATGAGTCTGCCACGGCTTTACTGAGAAGATCATGTCCAACTGAACCCAAGGGACTGTTACGTCTGAAATTGTCACAGAGAATAGAAATTTTTTTTCCATATTAAAACAGCTAAATTAATAACTTTTCGTTACAAAGAACCGCCTACAAATTTACTCCTCAGCTGTGTTCATAGATCATTTATAAAGGCTTAGTTTCGGAAGCTGTGCTATGGATTGTACAACCGTGAAACATATCGGCTATGTTCACACACAGAAACCTCCTCAACGAAGATGAACTGTCATAAGTAGGTGGTGCAGCTTACCAGCTTAGATTTTTCTCTTACCTTGAACAAATCCCACGTGCTTCAAAACCGAACCAGGCAGATGCGGAAGAACATTCAAATTCCAACCAAGCCTAAAAAAAAATTGGTCGTTACTATCTTCACGTGAAGACATGAAGTAGGAAGGTTGACAACGTACATGTATAACTCACTAACAAGCCTGGCGCTCTTAAAACTACAAGCGCATCAGTACAAATGATCCAATCTTTCGAGCTACAACTTTGTCACTTTGTCAAGTGATCGAGTGATTCAACAACAAAGGTGTGTCCACGATTGAAAGCTGGCGCGCAATATTCCAAACTGGTGTCCAACAAACGTTGAGCACTGCGTTTGTCACTTACTTTGCATACGGATTTCCTTTGTCAGTTGGGAAGCAGCTGTCCTCATGGTTTGTGTCCACAGTTCCACGGTGAACCGATACATAAGTTTCACGGTTATGAACAAACCTCCAGAATTCCCGCTGAAAAAACACAAAATTTACGTCATAGTGGTGAAAACAATGTACACGTTTTCCACTCGTTGTTCTAGCTGAATAGATGGCTCATTGGGAGCTCNCCACGTGCTTCAAAACCGAACCAGGCAGATGCGGAAGAACATTCAAATTCCAACCAAGCCTAAAAAAAAAATTGGTCGTTACTATCTTCACGTGAAGACATGGCGTAGGAAGGTTGACAACATACATGTATAACTCACTAAAAAGCCTGGCGCTCTTAAAACTACAAGCGCATCAGTACAAATGTTCCAATCTTTCGAACTACAACTTTGTCACTTTGTCAAGTGATCGAGTGATTCATCAACAATGGAGTTTGGTGCGACCACGATTGAACGCTGGCGCGCAATATTCCAAACTGGTGTCCAACAAACGTTGAGCACTGCATTTGTCACTTACTTTGCATACGGATTTCCTTTGTCAGTTGGGAAGCAGCTGTCCTCATGGTTTGTGTCCACAGTTCCACGGTGAACCGATACATAAGTTTCACGGTTATGAACAAACCTCCAGAATTCCCGCTGAAAAAACACAAAATTTACGTCATAGTGGTGAAAACAATGTATACGTTTTCCACTCGTTGTTCTAGCTGAATAGATGGCTCATTGGGAGCTCTCTATAAGCTTCCTTTATTATCTTCCAATATAAAAAAAAAACATCACAAATTATGAAAGCAAACAAATATTAACCAAACGAAAGGAATAATGACTAATCATGCAGTACATTGAACTCTAAGTAAAAATTGTTCTTAGGAAGTTCTCCGATTGCAAAGCGAGGAAATTTTCGCAGCTACCCAGCATCAAACTCTGAATTCTGTTTTCAAGCCTGTTTGACTGCACATTTGGCAATAATTTAATGCTATTAATGCTGCAAAACGTTCATCAATATAACTGTAAGAAAAAGTGAAAGAAATACCTCTACTTCGTTAACTGAAGGCGGATTCTTGAAGAAATGTCCCTGCACGTTACGCGCAATTCTTTGAAACGGTACTAAGGCTAAACTGCGGCCCTAAACATAACACAAAAGCAGTCAATCGGTAGCCAGCTCAAAATGTCAACTCTCCTTACTGGTTATACAATACATTTCTTTTGTGTTAGTTCTGAGAAATTATACGTAGATCAGACCCATATCAGCTAGTTGACGAGTTTCTTTATTCTCATCAACTGTTTGCTTGATAATGTATTGAAATTATTAGGAGAAATAAGATGCTGATCACTATCAGTAACTAAAGACTTTCTCAGAAGAAAACATTTTTCGGTCTTCTTTCTTTTGAGACTGAAAATCTCTAAGGATGCGAATTTAAAGTATTCCTGAAAATACCATTGAAAATACCAAATGATGTTCTTACCTTCACAGACCAGGCAGCTGCTGCGTCTTGGTCTGCTACAAAAAGAAATGCGAAACTCGAGTGAGTAACGTGTAGACTGCAAAATAGCTTGTAAAGAGACTGTTGCAATGCGTCAACTAAGCACTTAGTTCGTAGCTGAGGAACTGACCAGCTTTCAAGACGAAAGCAGTAGCGGAGCAGTCGGCATGGAAACAGAATGTAAACAGTCCCAAACGAGGCAAACGTGATTTGGTGCAATAGAGAAAAACATTCCACCGGGGAAGTGTCACAAAGTGCTTAGTCCACTACACAAAACCATCGCGTCACAACACAAATAATAGATCTGTCCAGAAGTCGAGCTGTGAAAGCCGAACTCGGAGGAAGAAAAATGTCCGAGACGCTCAAAAAACCGAGTAAAACGAACGCAAGGAAAAGGAACACAAGCTCGACCTTCGCGCCTAGACTACCTACAAGCGCGAAGGACTACGGAATAAAATATTAAATACGCTAAATTCAAACCAAGACATACCACTAGTAGAACTGTTTTCCTTCTCCGACTGAACCTCCCGCAACAACTCATCTTTTTCATCCTGCAGGAAAAACAAATACGGGAATCATCAGCTCACAGTAACTCTTGCAAATAACGATACCTCTCTTTAGTTGTAGAGTGGTAGGAACACACAAACAGCAGTGGTACCTTTGGTAAAAGATCGTATGAGAGTAAATATTTGCAGTAGATATCTTGAAGTTTCCCTATGCGGTCTTGAGTCTGAATCACAAAACGAAACAAGGAAACGTTAACTTACAAAAGCAGCTTTCCATTAAATTAACTAAAATAACTGACGGTTCATTTGATCTAACTCAATTGCCATAACTACAGTTTGCTATCTAAAACCAGTTTCAGAAACCAGAAAAGTTAAACCTTACCACCTCTTTTCACTGGCTAATAATTGATTATACCGAAATTCAGCAGGTAATTGGACAAGTGATTTTCTTCAACATTACTAAATTCGCATGACAATTAACGCAAACTCGAGAAATGGTAATATTTTACAAACTAGAAGACTGTAAGTGATTCTAGGCGAACTTGCAATTCAGCCATTTCTTTTATCCGTTGCATGTTCTTCCAAAGAGCCGATGTGAAACAAGCGGAAAAATCTGCTGTTTTCTCTATCGCAGTAAAAATACTGTTTGGAAGCCACAGCAAGCTAGACTTACCGCCCGCGGTATTTTCAATATTTCGGCGATTTTCGTCCATTTCTTGCTGTCAATTACCTGTGAAGACAAAAGGAAGTGTCACCTAGGTTAGCTACCAGTCTCCACAACGGTCAACTCTGCAAACACTGCTCTACAATCTTTAAAAAGTCATCATGTACCACAAAATTCCCGTTTTAAGCCTGTCCGGGCTTGTATAACTTCGCAAGGGGTTTAGGGCAGGCTTGCAACAGTGGAAACTTACACCCGGGAGAGGGGGCAGCTTGTAAACGGCAGACATACCTTCTGCAGTCCACCAAATTGTTTCACCACTCTGGAAAACTGAGGTAGATCAAGTTCATATCCTCCAATCTGAAGAAACAGTAAAATATAACGATCAACAAACGATACAAGTGCCCCATGATCCTCAAGCTTTACACCCTTCGACGAAGCACTCCTGCGCTTAATACATGTCTAAAAGAACTAAAATAAGCGCCTGACAAGTAGCCTGCGAGCAGGCTCTCGTGTTTAGGCCGGGGGCACGAGCGGCGAAGCCGAGAGAGTCTCTATCCCTCGCATCCTTCCCCTCCCCGCGTCGTCCTTAAACTCGCAAGCTACGTGACAAGCAAAGTTTCCTATCAATCATAAACACATCTGAAAGCCAGACCAAGTTATTTTCTGCTAAGAATTGCACGCAGCATTTTATTTTCTTGTTCGTGATGTCTAAATAACTTACCTGAGGCATGGGCACAATTGATATAGACTGCTGATCCAGATGTTTCTTGATGCAGGCTAATTCCTCCTCTACAGGACCCCACCTGGAAAATTCACAGCCAAAAAACTTAACGCCCTAATTTATCCCCAGATTAATTTTCTTCTCTTGGGCACGTCATTATTACTGAGAGTGGTTTTCAGCGATCTCTGGCTTACGCATTTTCTCTTAAATTAACACGCTTAACACAGACACCTTGATGGTACACGGTACACGTAGGTGTTAACAAGCCTTGAATGGTACTTGGTTGTGAGTATATGCTATCGTGATAGGTATCTGATCGGTGCTACACTTTTCCGTTGGGAATTATCATATGTTTTACACGAAACAGCCGGTAGGAAGAGAACCGATTCATATGACAAACTCCCTTACAGAATGCATTTCCTTGTAACGATTCATCATAGCTTACTGTTAGCCTTCGCACGCGCGTTTGAGGTCAACCTACCTGTCTTGAAGTCTGTGTATGAGCTGACACTCGCTATTAAACCGCACACTCTCAGGGACCTGAAACTCAGGCTGAAGGTAGAGTTACTATTATTGATGCTTTGAGAGAAAAATCACAATAATTTCTGCCGCATTACAAAACGTTCAGACCCCAAGCTCGACTTCTGGTTAGCTCAAATGATTTCAGAGACCAGGTGTATTCATCCAGTCCTCCACCTGGATGGGATACTTCTTCATCACAGCACCCCCCCGAGCCCCCCTGAGCCCCCCCCCCACCTGCCCCCCCTCCCCGCCTACTGACCCACGATTTACCTTGGTTGCCCCAGCTGTTATGTAACACCTATTTATACAACTACACGAGAGTCAAGTGTGCTGCCCCCAAGAACATGACGCAATGACCCCGACCAGAATCCCAGAGCTCTCGATTGCGCGCTAACCACGAGGCTACCGCGCCTCTCCTAAAATCTCCCGAAAAAAAAAAGAGAGTAAAACCTGAGTAAGCAAAGGAATAGCAAACCTTCCATGAGTCAGGAGGAACTATGACACACACACCAAACTTCTCAGCATCGCAGCGTATCCTCTTAATGTAGGCAACAGGGTCCCTGAATTCCTCTTCGCTGGGGTGAAACACTGGTGAATCATTCGTTTTTTCCAGAGAAGGGCAAATCGTTTCCTTCCGCTTGGAACCTACAGTCTTCTTGACAATTTTCGGAGAACTGTTAGACTTAACATTGATACTGCCAGTAACTGTTGAATCTGAAATTTTGTTTTTCGTTTCTTTTAAACTTGGCGAGTTTGAAGGTTGGGGCTTTCCTGGGGTCGAGGGACGAGCCAAGGGGGTTAAGGTCTCCCTGGTTAAATCTGCAGCGCTGTGATCGTTTATATAAGGTTGCATTACATGTGAGTGCTCTCTTCCTGAAGCAACTTTGCTTGAGAGTGCGTTTGAGCGTGACTCCGGCCGCGAATCTCTTCCTTGGAAGGCAGTTGGCAAATGGTACGTTCTGTAATTTTCTTGTTCACCTACACAAAGCTCGCGCTGGGCGCTATTCAGTGGCTCGCCTTTGCTGACACTTGCACGTTGAATAACAGACACCTGGTGCCCATCGCTTGATCCCAGCGGACCCAACGAATATCCATCTATAGTCCGTGTCTTTGAATTCGAATGTGAAACAGAATACGCGCCAGATTGACGGGCAGACTGAGACAGATTCACAGAGAAAGTGTACGGTTTGGGAGGAGAATTCCGTGAAGCAGAAGGTATGGAATAGGGCGACTGCAGATGAGACCACGTTGGGGGCAAGCTGTGAGTCACGTTTTCATTTCGTCCAATAGCCGATCGTAACGTCGGCTGTTGCTTTCCAGAACGCAAGGAACTCCGGGACGTGACATCCACGTGTGGAATACACACAGTATTAACCGGTTCTGGTGAAATGCCGCTGAACAAGTCCGATCTTGGAGAAGGGATTCGCTTAAATTCCACAGGCGAATTGTTAAACTGCCTATTAGCTGACACTGCACCAGTATTTACTCCACTCGAGAGTTTATCGTGCGGTCGATGAACATAAGAAGATGAGGAAGGTCTCGCATACTGATTGTACATGGAGCGACAGGGCTGCCTTTCATCCGATCGGCCAAAACCATCGACTGATGACTGAAAACTCATTAAATTAACTTCGGAGCGGTTTGATGCCAAGCTGACACCATTGTTTCTGGGCACGACCAAGGAGCTTACTTGCACAGGCCTAGGTTCATTCTCTGCCTGAGGAAACGTCTGACGGTTTGAGAAGACATAGGTACTCTTGAATTTTTCTTTGTACGACATGAAGAGTGGAGAATGCCTTGAGGAGGCCAGGGGTCCAGCGACGGGAATAGTTCTAGCGTAACTACGTTCTTGAAATGATTGCGCGTTTTCGTGTCTAGAAGACGTTAAATCCCCGAAAGGTGAAGGATGCCGCCGATTGTGGTCAATGCTAGGAGTTAGTGTATTCTTTTGAAGCGATGCTGGACCAACGCTTTCTTCCAAAAAACCCGTCGAATGTCTTACAAGAATTGGCGGATGAGACGGAAATCGACCACTGGACGATTCAAGGTGATTACGTGAGGTTTCACCACGAGCGCCGGACGGTTCAACTCGACCGGGCGGTGTTCGGCTACCGGAGTCTACTGGGATAGCTACACGTTGAAGCCGAGGTGGACTGCTGCTACAGTTGATCGCACGTGAAATCCTAAACGACATCTCTTCAACGGGAGCATCGCTATATTGGCTTGCTGAAGAGTGTCTCCGCAGCAGAGGCATTTCTTTGCTACTCCAGGGGGATGTGGTCCTATTAACCCCTGCTTCTACGTCTGAAATTTTAGTTAAGTCGCACAGAGAAGTGCTCGATCTCTCAGTTTTAACCACTGTAGCTCCAGCCTTCGATTCATTTTTATTCTGAGTCCACAACGAACGTGGCTGGAACTCTGATAAATTATCCTCTACTGTGACTGATTTGTTCACGTTTCTTTCCGTCGACTCGTTGTTATTCGCGCCTTCAAGGTCTATGACAACAGGGGGAAATCTCTTCAAAGGCGGTGGTCCTTCATCTTGAATGATTGACAGCTTCGGGGGCAGCTCTGCACGTGCTTCGTTCTTTTGATCACGTGTAGGTGACGTGGAAGGAAATCTCTGCAGCGTGGGAGGCCCGTGGAGATGAGTGACTCTTTGAGCCGCGGCAGGGATGTACAGCAGGGGTGGAGGGGGCGGAGAGCAGGACGACGATTCTGATGATTGTAACAGGGGAGGGGGACGAGAAATGACACTATCACCTCCGTTACCCGTCAAAGGAGAATATGAAGTTCTCGTGACCGAAGCTCCTGTTAAAGTAGGTTTGACAGCGAAGGGTTTAGGAATGGGTCTTGGTAACTGCTTGTCCTTTGACCTGTACGTTGACAAGTTCGTAGGACGGCAAGACACTCTGAAGGCTAATGGAGGTGTGACAGACTTGGTGAGCTCTCTTGGACTCTAAAAAACAAACAAATGAAAAAAATTTACAGGGATCGCATCAAAGAGTTCGGCGTAACACACAATAAAGGCTTAAGATCAATAACCAAAGCTCTTTTACTAGGATCAAGAATCATAAAATTTTTTGTTGTTACACTGTAGCCATCTATTTAAGTTAAGTTATCAACTTTTGTATATAAGTCATCACGCCCAATCCGACAACGAAGACGTCCAGCGGAATAATGACGATAAAAACAATGACGATAACAATAATGAATTAATGCTTAAGTAGCCGGAAGTTTCTTTCACCCTATGGGTCCCTATATGGAAAGTCTTACGCGACTAAGACACGAGAAGACGCGGGATACAGATCATGCAGATCATGCGACTTAACTCTTAGTAGAGAAAAGTTTCCCTCAGGCAAACCTATCAACTGTCCTGTTTGTACAAGAATAGTATAAAGACCGCGGCCGACTGCAAGTGAATTCGGAGATCATTTGGCTCACAGCTTTTACAAGGATTCACTTTCAAGAAATAAAGGGATTACTCTGAAAGACTAGTGGGAAATGCGTACGAGGTAAATAAGTCTTCCGTGACTGCCACGACACAATTCTTCAAATTTCATCTAAAACAAAAAGGCAATATTCAATTAAGCACACAAAATTTTCATCCGAACTCGAAGCGCACAGTATAATTAATTAATAACATGAAATTTCAATTTTGAACAAATGCTTTGTTAATACTATAGAGAGTGACTCCCAAAAGCACTCATTATATAGTGTAGCTTATAGACGCATTTTTGATTAAGTAACTCCCATGGGAATTGATCGCAACACCGAGATGAACCCTCGGCGAAGTTCATGGAAGGTTAATTTGTTAACATGTATTTTGTTTTCCTTTCCTCAAAACGAAGTATAAAGTATAGATCAAAAATTCTTGTCCCTTTCAAGAGATGGCGGGAAAATGGCTCGTTTCCCTCGAGGTTCAGTAAAAACTATCTCCAATTTTTAGTATGGTGGAAAACGTTACACACGCTGAAATCGGGCAGCCCTCAATGATGTCCAGTAAAATGGCCTTTTTCCAATGAAATTTTTCAGTTGATAGCTCATCTTTCAGCCAATTAGCCATATCCGAGTTGCATTTTACCTCTATGTCAAAGCGAGTCTTTGTGCAAAATCATTCATATGGAAATGTTTTCATGCGAATCAAACACATTTTCATACATGTATGAAAGGTTTTGCACGGACTCGTTTTGAAACAGAGGTACAAGGTAAGTGGAAAATTGCCTATCACACTGTATATTTTTCAGTTTCCATCCTACATTTCAAACTGAAATAACAAATTGACGTTAGTTTTTCATGCGTCTGTCCTGTTATTGATCATGAATTTCGTCATAACATTGTCAAAGTAGCTGTGGATCCACGAGGCGTTATGACGAAATTCATTGTCAATAACAGGACAGACGCATTAAAAACTGACATCAATTTGTTTTTTACGATATCAAATTGTCAAACACACATATCAAACACACATGCTCATACATGCTCACACATGCGCCGTGTTTTAGAATGTTTGCCTACTTTTTCTAAAATTTTAGAAGAATATCGCCTAGCCTGGTCTATTCTTATGTGATTGTCAAAATCTTTTGGGAAATTTTGGCCAACCCACATCATTGTATTATTGGTCTCTTCCAGGTCTTGAAGCTCTCTGCTACAAATTTTTAAGACAAAGAAGTACCTTTCTCAGATGTAAAACTAAAAGTTATTCATCATAATAGATGAGGTTTATTCAAAGATACACGGCCTATGAAGAATTAGACACAATACCATAAAAAATAGTAAGAGTTTTTAATGAATCCTCAATCTTATTACATAGGCTGCAAAACACATGTGATGCAATCTTTGTTGGTAGGCCTAAAAAGTTGTAAGTTGATTTCAAGAATTGTAACTAATAGTAATGATATTGTGCAACAAAAACGTTTTGGTTGTAAGAATAATTATTGCAGCGATCATTTCATCAATTAAATAAAATTCACACTGAATGCATTCGAAATGCGGCTTTTAACAATAGCTACAAAATGTACAACGAAACCCGAGTGCAACTGACAGAAAGAAATGAACAAATTACCAAGTGAAAATGTCAAAAAAGGCTGCCATGGTGTTGGCAGATCTGTGTTTACTTATTAATATTTATTTACAAATAAATAACAAAATTGACCAGCAACCTGGGTTTCAAGTACATTGTACAGTGTATGAATGAAAGAATAGTGAATGAAAAAAATATATTATAAAAATTAATTACATACTTAAAAGTAAATAGATACATTCAAGTACTTTCATGTTAACAGAGAACTAAAAAGCATTGAGTGTTTTTATAGAAGCACTCAGCACATATATGTCAAACCATGATCCCATATGCATTTTCATTGGTTTTATTCTGGAATGCGAGACCTCTGTGAGCACGTTACTAGACAAGCTCAACAATTATCAAATGTACCCTTAAATATTTACATGTACAATGTACTATTACAGTGGTGTGCGCAATACTGTCATGTGGTACCATATGTGGTGGTATTTTTCAAGTTTCCAGTGGGCGAGGTTGACATATCAAGAATGCTTGTCAAGATTTCCTGATTTTTCTACCAAGGTACATGTTTCCATGGCAACTACTTAGATTACTATTGCTCAACTAAAACACAAACCATTGAAAATTTGTGAAATGATATCGCAGCAATATTGAGTAGCACAATGGGAGACCCCAGCCCCAAAACACTCATCCTTTTTGCCTTATACAGTTGAACCCCGCTATCACAAACTCTAATAAGGGTTCCAAACGAAAAATAGTCTGAGATGTCAGGTGCTTGAGATAGCCAATAGACAGTGACTGAAAAGGTATATCAAGCAAAATGATTTGAGTTTGGGAAAGTGGTGAGTACCAGATACTGAGTTTGAGATACAGTAGCAAGGTTCTTCTGCACATTCAAGAGGGTCCAAAGGGGAGAAGGGTGTGGTCCCCGGAGACTCTGTCCCCAACTTTCTGATGACTAGTCTCTTCATAGTGATTTTAAATGGTAAATGTACATACCATAGATAGTTGAGAATAATAGTATCATAAAATATAATATTAAATAATGTTACAAAAGGCCATTAAAAATTCACAGTGAAAAGAATTGCTTGAATTGAATAGTAAGATGTGGGTCAACACGTACAGTGCGAGTACATGTACCTGAATGTGACATTAATTTCATAATACATACAGGTATGTACTATTTTAAAGCATGAGGCAATTTTGTAACTGGAAGCAACAGCCTTATGAGGATCAATGGCTATGAGTGTAGAGGAAAAATGAACTACTATACATGTAGCTTAGTGATACCCACATTAAACTAATATTCACACATCAAGAAAAACAATTCACTCACATCTGCCTCATCACTTGGAAGAAGCTCATCGTATTTCTTTTCCTCTTTGCCATTGGCAGCGAGTCCCTTAGGACCATCAGCGTACATTCTAACAACACCACTCTCCCAAGAGGGCCCCTCACCCATCGCTGGACTATCCACAGACGGGGCTGGGGAGTCTGAATAGGATTTCTGGACAGCACTTGACGGGTTTGACGCATTTGACATTGACGACTGAGACTGAGTGGGAGAGGGTGGGGAAGAATTGTCTTCTTCTTCCTCTGATAATGGTGACATTGGCAGACAAGGATGATTGAAGACCTCAAGCTCTTTAGGCAAGACAGGATTATCTGTAAAACATGTAAAATAAAATTGTAAGGTTAAGACTTCAAACCTTCCTGACAAAATTCTATACATTTGTGTAGGTTGCAAACATGACCTATGTGACTCTTACTAATCAGTCTGGAATATCCCGATAAATTAGGACAGTCATGACGTCATGAAGCTATTGTTAGCAGGGAAAATGGTGGACCTTTTATGCGGACAAAGAAAGTATGTTGTTTCCAGTCTCGCATAGAGTCTGGCCAGCATTATCCAGGACTTTTTGCGACCAAACATTGAGAAGGAGAATAAGCGGCCATTTTGGTAGTAGGAGAATGTTGACTGTCTTCTAGTCATTGAGTTTTTTTAGTGTCAAGCGANCGATCATTTCTGTGCTTAGAAAAATGCAGAGTAAAGATGCTTACCGATTGTACGGTCTCCTTCCAAAGAATGATAACAGCAGCTCGTCAAACGTGGCCCGCATTGCCTTCTGTGGTGCTTCCTTCGGTCCGAGGATAATCGTTATCTGGGCAGAATTGTCTGTGACATGGAACGCTAACACAAACTTTCCTTTTATTTTATAATTTGGACAGTATTTAACTCAATTCGAGATAAATCTATACCTCCTGAAGGTCCACATTCATGGCATTGGAAAGTACTCGCGACTCTCTTTGTCCGCCATCTTGAATCTCTTGGTTTGTTTTGAAACACAACACTCCAACCAAAACACGCATTCTCATTGGTTGAAAAGTGAGTTTCGTGACATCACAGATGTCCTAATTTATCGGGATATTCCGGACTGCTAATCAGAAACTAAACATTTTTACACTTATTGTAACAATGCTACAAAAGTACAGTTTACTTTCAAAGCAGAAAATGCAGTCTAAAACAATTCTCAAAATGCTGTATGGACCTATTCTAATTATTTCTGAAGTTTAAAGGCAAGAGTCTCTTCAAATTTCCCACTACAAGAGCTAGTAAGGCCACTTACGTCTTAAACAAAGGAAAGTGAGGAAATCTTCAGTCTTTGCTCTTGTACAAGCAGTCGATAGCAGATTTGCTTCCTCCTGGTATCTCATGCTGAAAACAATTTAAGAAACAAAAATTTACTTTTCATAAAATAAATTTAAAAATAAAGAATTTAAACATAGTTAAATGGAATTAACATAGTTAATGACTAGGAGCTAGTCTGGTCAGCAGTGTTTTTGGAGGCGTTTGTTAGCGTCCTGGCTGTTTGTTAGCATTTATTAAGCGTTTGTTGCATTCTGTAGCGTTTGCAGCAGTCGTATGGTTGTGAGAGCCCTGGGGCTGACATTGTCCAGCAGTAGTCTTGGTTAGTACGTACATGTACATTGTCGTCCAATGTGCCTGCAGTGTGTTCGTTGCTCTGTTAGCATGGCGTTGTCGGTTGAATTATAGTAGTTTGGTGGTTCTCGGCGTTCCCTCCCTTACCCCCCTTTTTCCAGCAGTTTTTTCTCTAACTGAGCTATCTGGCTCGAGTGTGACGGGTGCCTGAAGGGGGCCTGGTGCGGGGGGCTTGTGGCTTGGCTGTGGGTTGGGCAGGTCAGTCGGGTGTTGTTCTAGCACCTTGGGGATGTGACTGCGGTTGCAGCCCCCGGGCTTCGTAGGCACCTTCCCTCCACTAGCGACTCAGGTGTTAATTCCCAAAAAATTAATACCTGGTAATAAATAAGCTATCACTGACTGCTAGAAACAGAATACAGTTTTATTATGTTAACAACATAATGTTAAACACTCTTGGCTAGTTAAAAGTCTCCCAACAATAGACTACGGTGGAAATTTAGGTGCCATGTAGCTTGGCCAGAATATTGCCATTGTATTAAAAAAGGTAAAGTCTGCACACAAACCAAGTGGCCCATAATGAACAGGCCAGCCTTTGCCTCTGGTTTCTGTAGCATTAACTGAAGTGACTATAGGCTGGAGTATTTCTACTCCCCCCTGAATGGGATGCTAGTCCATCACAGGGTTACCCCCAGCATTAAATCTGCCCACACACATTAACACATGTGGGTGGAAGAAGGTCACTGTGAGAGTTAAGTGTCTTGCCCAAGAACACAACACAATGTCCTTGGCCAGGGCTCAAACCTGGACTGCATCATTAAGAGTTGGATACAACTAACCATGAAGTCACTGCAGTTCCCTGTGGTTGTATTAAAGGGGTGATAATAACTAACTCATCTGGTTGTAACTTTATTTACAATAAGGTAACATGTCATGGTCAAAACATTTAGCAGGATTCTCCTGTTAAGTACATCCTGGACATGTTCAGATCATTAAGAGTACCTGTTTGGACTCAGTGGATGGTTCTTTGCAAATTTCCTCTGTGCATGGACCATTCTGCTTGGTCTATAATGCAAAGTAGGTGTACATGTAGTTTTTGAAACTGCTAAATTGACTGGATTATGAAAAATTACAAACATTCACTGGGATCCATATTGATTATTTGGTGCCAGTTGTCTACTCATGCAACTCAGGAAAATATCAATAATACCCACCCTCGAGGGGGGGGGGGGNTGGATCGGGGTGTGTGGCCCACTTCCCAAAACCCTTACCCTATTTATGACCTGGCCAAAAATTTGATACCCTATTTATGACCATTGCGGCTGGCAAGGTTGCCCTAAACATAAGTTACTAAAGGCTTTTATTGACGGTCCTATTGATAATGATGAAACAGTACATGTAGCTTCTTCTAAGAAACATACCCAATTCAAGACTAGAGTGCTAAAACCATAACCTATTTAAGACCAAATGGCCAAAATCGATACCCTATTTATGACTTAAACAGTTGAAAAACCCTACCCATTGGGGCTGCACATACCTATATAGCCAATATAAGGGAGTACCCCCCCCCCAAACTGGGTTCCCACCCCAAAAGAGATTAACAGAAATTCCAAGGGGGAGGGAAATTTCAAAACCCCTTGCACTGTTGTTAGTAATTTGCTTGAAGTTTGGGTATTTCATAGGTGGTAAATACTGCAGTTGGTATCAAATGGATAAAAAAAAAAATTGGACTTTGTTTCCATTAGTTGGAAGCAGATGGGTAAATTTCATTCTTGGTGATATTTGGCATCCAAACATGCCACAAGCCATGACTTGCCAGTCAAATAGTTTCCCATCTGACCCTTCCATTCACTCACTAAGTCCATATTACTATTCCAACCCTGTTTAGTGGAGTGCAAATGGTGCGCTGTTTATACTTTTGAACAGATTCATTGACACACTTGACAAGTCATCTAGTTATCCTGACTACAGGATTCTAAATCAAGATAAAATAAACTGAAAGTCAGTACTTCAGGTTAAGAAACTTTGGATAATATTAAAATTACTTATTCCTTGATATTCCTTGATGTGGATAGTATCAAAAAACATGTACATTCATTAGTGGCAATAGATGTCCAACAGTAGCAATTAAATAATGAAAGAATGAAAGATGCGAATGCAGCCATAACACTACTGGAAAAACGACCTGAAATTTTGTTTTCACTGAAGATATAGGACTGAACCCACACACGACCACTCTCATGTGGCTTTGATAGCTCAGTTGGTAGAGCATTGCACCGGTAATGTAAAGGTCATGGGTTTGAATCCTGTTCAGAGCCAAAAATTTTTCAGATCATTTTTCCAGTAGTGTTATGCCTGCATTCACATCTTTCATTCTTCCATGTACCGTAGTATTCAATCAATTTGTATTTTGAATTACCTTAATCACAGGTTCCACAAAATACTACAATGTACAAGAGTAGTAAATTTATACTGCGATAAACTACACAACAAAATGTTTTATAGGATGTACATACATTTTAAATTTATTATAACTTACCTTTTTTTCTCTTCCCTTCTAGATTTCTTCACTGGTGATTCCTCACTTTCAACACCACGTTGTCTGCTACCATCCAAATTCGCAGTGCTGTCAGCTTGACATCCTTGACTCTCAAGGTTTTTTCTCTTTCTCCTCCTCTTCTTTTTGGTTTTTAAAAGTAGTTCTTTGCTCAGGCCATGGTTATTATTTATTTTACCTCCTGCAGATTTATTCATGGCTACAAAAACTGCTAGGGCACCTCTCTGTCTCTTTCTCTTTTTTGATTTTCCATTGCAAGGTAAACTAGGTGAGTGCCGCTTTATGCTCACTGCCCCATGTTCATTTGTAGAAAAACCAGCCATACCAGTGTCACTGTGAGTTTGAAGATTGGATGGTGATGCAGTTCTAAATAAAGCTTTTAGTTTAGTTTTCTTCTCTTTCTTTTTCTTGATCACATAATTTAAAAGTTTGCTTGGTTCCTTGGCAGTTTTCTTGTTCTTTGCTGTTTTAGCATTGCTAAGTGAGGGGAAGGCATGCACCTCAACACCATGTTCATCCTTGTTTAGCTCAGATTGACCATGCTTGTTATTGTTGTCAAATTCATCATGACTGCTACAATGTTTGTTATTAACTGCTTCTACATGTATGCCTGATTCAGCACCAACATTATGTGAGACATCGTCAACAGTTCTTTCATCACTTGTCATTGAATGCTGTCCGGACAGCTTGCTTGGCGAAGGCTTCTTGGACTCTACTAGAGAGGCATACATAGCCCTCCGTAACATAATTTCTTCTTTGTGGAGAAGACCCCCATTGTATTCCTACGCAGCAAAAATGCAATTACCAAAAATTACACTTATCTATAGGCAAACTAAATATTTTGTGCACCAAAGTATTCTTTTGATGCAAAACTATGTGTACAAACAAACAAGACTTTCACTTATAATGCAGCTACATATTGTAGATGCAGAAATAAAAACGAAATAATTTTACTGTTGACTACATATATACCGGTATGTTTACAGGACCTGGATAATTTATGAAATTGATTCACGATCAGAAGTCCAATCGATCAATCAATCGTTGATTGTTATCAGCAAATTGATGAGCAATCAATAATCACATGAAAATGGTTCGTGTTTGTCGATTATCGTCAATTGGAGAGAAAATGTCCCTCCACAAAACATCTTAATCACTTTCGGCTTGTGCATCCGGAGAGTGATCGCTCGCCAGCAAGACGTGTGCTGTTACATGTACATGTGTCAACACTATTTCCTGTCAAAAATCTGAGTAGACTTCAAATACACTCGCTTCACGCTCAATTGAAATGAGGTTTTCATAGTATTTCTTTTCTTTTCTCTCCCGCAGACTCTTGAGAATTCAAGCATCAGTCACCTAACTGCCAAAGTACGCAGTACATGTACATATTTCGTGCTGTACTTGTTAACATGATCGATCACGAATGCAATAAAGACAAATATATTTCATAATGTTTATAGTTCTTCTTTTTTTAAACGTTCATGATTCTACTTTATTTTTGGTTTTCGCTAACTAATTGATCAATTTCAATTGATTTTCAGTGATTATTGATAATCAACAAGAATCTATAATCACAAAAACGTTCGCATTTGATTGTTCATCTATTATCAATATAAATCCACTAATTGTTACTGATTTTCATCGATTGTTATCGATTTTCATTGATCATCGGTTTCATCGATTGTTCAGGTCCTGATGTTTATTACAGCAGTGTTCTAAATCGTTTTCAACGTTACAGCTCAAATTTCTGGCAAAACATTGTAAATTATTCTAAGTGTCAATATCTGTGAATAGGCCAGGGCAAACCTAAAATGTATTTGTATTTAATATATAAGGAAATTAATGTTAAGATGCCATGTACCAGGATCAGATAGAAAAACCTTCTACGTTCGAATTCTGTACCCCTAAAAAACACAACCAAACTGACCTAGTAAGTTATAAAAGTTTGCGTATAAAAATGTATGTTGCGTGTGTAAAGATCATCTTAGTCCCAGCAGTTTAACGATGGTTTTTTAAAAAATAAATAAATAAGTAAATAGTTCATTTATCCTTTCTCTGGTTCTTAGAAGAACAACGTTTCACATATTCGACAAGTTTAATTGCGTCAAAAATCGAGTGGTCCACACAATATCGTACCTGCTTAATGGCCATCCTTTAATTTACGACGCCGTTTAATAATGACAGGGGAAAATTCAAGAACTAGCGAATAATCTAAAATAACTCCAGGTTTTCGGTTATGTTTAAAGAATATTCGACACATTTTATCTGCAAGGAGCTGAAGTACGCATCGAAGTAACAGAATGGTGTGATGATCGGTTTTGTAAGTCATGTCTTGCGCGCAAAGCAGACGTGGTAATTAACTTTTAATACCACTTCCAAATTGAATGCATGGGCCATTTTTCTCTTTGACCTAAATAACAAAAGGATGCAGGAAACTTCTCTTTCGCTAGGGATCGGAGTCGCTTACTTAACTTAGACAACTTCGTTTTACGAGATTTCGAATGAAGGATAGACCTTTTGAAAATGACGTTAAAAAAACTTAGTTAGAGAGGCCAGGTTTCAATTGCGTTGTTGATCATATAATAGAAAGCAGCTGGCCGACTATGTAGAGAACTGGCACACGCACAACACAGGAAACCGATCGAGAAATGGGTTTGTTCGTGCGATTCATGAACAGAGAGGAAAACAATGGTGCGTTGAACAAACGAATGGTTGGTACATACCAAGCACGGTTGCGTTATCCTTCGCCGTGGGCGCTCGGCCGCCATTCTTGTCACAACCACTAGGCACTATATTCAAATGTTAGGGCCCTACCAGAATGAAAACAAAATCGAGACCACGTGTACGTTTCCTCCATTTTAGTTCTCCTATCGATCTGTAAACAACTACATTTTCTCATTGCAGGTTGTGTTGACAGGTCAGCGGGTTCAGGTTTAGTAGCCACGCCTGTAAAATTAGTAACCAAGCCTTCATGCCAGTTTGTGGTCCAATGACTTTGAGGTGGTTCAGGGAAGTTTCACGCTGCTTTAGTTCTAAATCAAACAAGGCAAGTAGATCACCCTGTAAGCAGAGACTCTTTTATCTCTTGTTAAGAAAAGCTTCTGCTTGGAGGGTGGAACTTTACATATAATTATTGCATAATTATCTGCTTCAGGAGAGGTGTTGATTTATAGGCAACCCCTAAACTTGTACTACCTACATCAGGTTGCCCATCTGAAACAAAATAATTCTCTTTAGCTTGCCCAAATATGCAAGCAACTTCCCTTGAAAAGTTCAGGTTAGGACATCTGTGAGGTTGTCAGCACTCTCTGCTGATTAACCATTCGGCCGTCTCCATGTTTATTGTTATCTATGAGTACCCCCTGGTGGTGTAGGGTATATATTAAATAAGGAGAAAGAGTACTGAATCATTTCAAAATTATTTGTCATATTTAGAACAAATATATGGACTTCGAGGTAATTAAGTTGACCCACATTTACACCAGGGCTCAAAAAAAAGTGCTGTCCAGTTGTCCAGGACAAGTAGATTTTCTTGCTGGGCAAGTCACTTTTCATTCTCACTTGCCCAATGGCATTACAGAATCGTGCCCATGAAAAAACTTTGCACGGGAAAATGCAAATAAGCAAAAAAGGAGACAGAGAACTAGCGTAAGGCCTGTCAATCAAGTAATCCCTAGTGTAACTCGGGCTGAAACAATCTTCATTAATTACAGGCTCAAGTAGTTGTCCTCTAGGGAGGGAGGGAGGGAAACAAAACTTAACAACGGAATCGCATGCAATTAGAACGAGAGACTAACTGAGCACGAGGAGACGTGAACATGAATGCAATGCGATCACAGTCAATAATTAATCTATTGACTGCTCAAATTTTGCCCTTTTCATCAGAGAAGAATAGTAGTAATTAGACAGTGTGTTACTTGCATGGTTTTGTGTGAACACTCCACATTCTGTTGATATGTATACATAGGCCTTTTCTGATGAAAAGTGCATTTCAATGCTTTCAAACAACACTACTGCATTGCTCCAGCTGTACCTGTAACTTTTAACTTCATTTTTTGGGAATTTGTCACTTCAGGATCTTAAGAGACAAAAACTGGCAGTAGCCTAGTTGCAACCTCATTCACAGGTGGTTGCACCCGCAATGCATCGTGGGTACCCCCACTTTTCCCGGGCGACGCTTTTCAATGGGTCCGATTCTGTAATGAACAAGGCCCAGGCAAGTTGCCTGCCAACTAACTATAAATTTAAAAGTAAACAAATACTTGCCCAGGGCAAGCACAATTTGAGAGCTGCTTGTCCAAAGGCAAGCTTGAATTCATTTTTTTCTTTTTTTCCAAGCCCTGATTAGTGTGACAGTTCAGTAACTTGAGCATGCAGTATTAGAGCACAAAACTTGTATCCTATAGCCCTAACTATGGACATGTGACAGATACTAGTCAGGGTGCAAATTAAGAAAACCAATTTCTGGGTCTGGCTTTCAGTATAGCTGTAACTATGATGTACCAGCCAGAACGACATTCTCACTAGTCCAAGTCATCTCTTATGTACTTCTGTAATTGGAATAATTTTCCTCAAAACTGCCGCAGAAATGTCACTTGTCCACTAGCAAGACTAGAAAATCCACTTGTCCCAAGTTAGAAGACATGACTTCCTTTGCACATGCACTGCCATAACTAAGGTTCTTTCTCACTGCAACAGCATAGACAGTTTATTGACTGGAAGAAAGTAATTTTGAAAGCTGGAGATGGTGGAAATGGGTGTGTTCACTACAGGAGGCTAAAGTAAGTTTAGTTTTTGTTGCCTAGGTATTAAGACTCCACTTGCATCATTCTCGGACCCAGGGGCACTAAATGGGGGAGGGGGAAATTTAAATTGGCAAAGACTTAAAATGGGCATTGAAAAGTAACAGAAATAGCAAGGAGCCCCTGAGGAGAGAGTTGTACTGGACTAGTTCCATAGGACTCTATTCATGCTGTCTCCTAATTGAGCAGCAAAAATCCGTTGCTTCTACTCTGCCTAATCAGAGGGAAGCAGGCCCACAGTCCAGTGCATGTATGTAACAGAGCCTATGCAAAGTTATGGGGAGGCGCAGCGGCCTCATGGTTACAGTGTAGTGTGCTCAACTCCAGATCAAGCGGTCCAGATTCAAGTTGTGACCAGGGACATGGTGTTGTGTTCTTGGGGAAGACACTTCACTCTCACAGTACTTCTCTTCACCCAGATGTATATTAAATGGGTGCCAGCAAATTTACTGCTGGTGGTAACCCTGCGATGGAGTAGCATCCCATCCAGGGGGGGGGGGGGGGAGTAGAAATACTCGTCGTCACTTCATGCTACAGAAGCCTGGATAAGCTCCAGCCTGATGGACCACTTGTCTCATACATGTAGAAAGACTTTACCTAGATGCAGAGTTTTTCAAACCAAATTCACAAGTTCCAACCAGACTGGGCTTTAAATGACTAATGGTTTGTAACTGACTGTCATCAATATCTAGATACCAACCCAGAGCTGGCCCTGATGGTGGTGATGGGGGTTGTGGAGGAAGCATTGTTTTGATTGCAGATAATTCTGTAAAGGAGTTTGCCCATCTTCCTAAACATATCAAGGCTGAGAATGGTGGAGATGGTAGGGGAGATGACTGCAAGGGAAAGAATGGCTCTGATCGCACATTTCAGGTGAACATACAAAATTACTTTTTTCTGTATTTAACCCATTTGGACCATAAAATAAAACTGGCATCTTATGCATTAGTAATGTTAGGATGTTTGATGTTTACAAGTCTTTCTGTTATCTACATGTAGCTTGTAAGGTTTCATATGAATACAAATGGAAAGTAAAACATTATATAGTGAACACAGACTGAGTGTATACAGGCAAAAACTAACGATAGACAAATCCGACGTTTTGGCGACATCTTGGTGCCATTGTCAAGGGAAACCAATTAAATATGCGATTTCAAGAGTAACTAAGAGTTCAGAGTTACTAATTTGCATAAGTTAGACAAAGACCTTAGCACGAACTGAGTCTGATTGTACATTTAAACACGGTCATAATTGTTTAATGAGTAACATCTCATTAATGAGACAATCAAACTTGTTGCGGTATTTTTTCAACACGCTAAAACAATTGCGAGGGTCATCCGGAATCCTGCCTGCGTGTCTATTATCATAGTGATTGCGTACTGACGAGGTCTTGCTTCTATATCCATCAACGCATACGAACAGATGGCCACAGGTGTAACCGACATTTAACCAGCATCGCACTGGTCACACTTGAAGTTATACACAACGCATTGTTGATCAATGAGCTGAGGTTCACTTGT